TAAAAACCAGAACACAAGGAGATTGCAGACTCAAAGAAGCCTGGACAATTTTTGGAGTGGGAAGACATCAACAAAATGAAGTACTCATGGAATGTATTGTATGAGGTGATGAGATTCACACCACCACTTCAGGGGACATTCAGAGAAGCCTTGACTGATTTCACCTACGCTGGTTACACCATCCCAAAGGGCTGGAAGGTATATCTGTCGCACTCATATCACACTTTTTTACTGCTGAGAAAAGTGAAATTTATTATTCACCTCTGTCAAATAGTAATTTCTTTGCTTAGAACTAAAGTTTTTACTTTGATTTGTTTGCAGGTATATTGGACTGTTAGTACAACAAACATGAACCCAGAGTACTTTCCCAACCCAGAAAAGTTTGACCCCTCAAGATATGATGACTTGAATGCATTCCCAGCTTTCACATTTGTTCCATTTGGAGGAGGACCAAGAATGTGCCCTGGCAAAGAGTATGCAAAGCTAGCCATACTCACTTTTGTTCACAATGTGGTGATGAGGTTCAAATGGGAAGTGCTATTTCCTAACGAAAAGATCACAGGTGACATGATGCCGACACCGGAGAAAGGACTTCCGGTTCGTCCTATTATTCTTCCTTTTTTTTTTTTTTTTTTTTTTTTTTGTTTTCATGTTGAACTAGAAGAGATAATAAATATACATGTTGCTCATTGGTGTTATATATTTGGTAGGTGAATGAGTGAAAAAGCTATCTTCAAACTACAATACAGGGTCTAATATGCCACACTAATTTGGGAATAATAACATTTCCCCCAATCATCCAAACAAGTCCGCATCCAAGTCTCCCCACACAAAAACTTAGGAGGCTATGGGAATTAGGGGGCATCAAACAGGCGGACCCAAATGGTAAGTAATTGTGATTTTGGTTCGGTTTTGAAAATCAATAAGTTAAACGGTCTCAAAACTAAACGACATTATATTGTTTTGTTTCGGCCTTATTATACACGGCTCTAAACCGAAACAAACTGTTCATTGCTGATTTTATTTGTACTTATCTGAAAATATTAGGTTGTAACTAATAACTAACATTATTAAATCATTATTTTGTTACTTTGAAAATAAAAAGGATGTTAGGCCATCTCCAACTTTGGCCTAGGCCTAATTTGTAGTGGGGCCCATTTATGTGTGTTTTAACAGCCACCATTGATATATATAGATTTTTAAAAGCCTTTTGAATGTTTTAATTCGTAGTGTTTAAGAAAAAAGTATAAAAAATTGTTGGCAATGACAATGGAGGTCAGACCTACCTACTCCTTTAAAAAAAATTAAAAATAAAAATAAAAATAAATGTGGTCAGCTTTTCAAGTGTTGTTTAAAAACAATTATAAAAAAGTCTTGTTCATGACCATTAGAGCTCAAACATTGAAACGCATCTTTTTTTTTGTCTTCACATTTTTAAATGTTTGGTATTGTTTAAAAAAATTATAAAAAAATTATGGGTCATGACCGTTGAAGGTCAGACCCTTGAAACCCTTCCAATTTTTTTATATTTTTATAATTGCCTTTGTTGGCTTTATTTTTTTTATTTTTAAAATAGTAGTTTAATTAAATTAAACAATATGGTTGTGGAATGTATAAGTATTGTACCATAATTTTTCTCAAAATAATAAAATATGAAGAACCCTAAAATATAGCCATGCATGGCTGGAGATGAAAAAATTTAGCCATGCAATATTCTTTAAAAAATTAATATTTTCAGGGGCTAAATTTTTAGTCCTAGACTACATTTAGCCATGCGGCTACAGATGGCCTTAGAATGTTGTAGAATTAGACTAACTTAAAAATATGCAACACAAAAAAAGAAAAAAGAGAAAAAATAATTGGGCTTAAGCCCAAACCGCCCAAACAAAATCAAACTGCACATCTAGCAATTAGTCACCTTGTTTCTTTCTTCTTTTTCGTTCTCCGTTCTTCCCTCCCAAAAACCCGATATAAACCCTAACCAGAACCAGCCCTGATAATTGAACATGGATTTTTCCAGCTGGCGTGTAATTGCCCCGTTGTCTGATTCAGATGACCTAAGCCTAAGCCTTCAGACATCTGTTTTTGGGTCCGCTCAGCAGATGATTGGGCTAAACTAGCACTGGATTTCAACCATCTCTTACTTGATATTACTTGATTTTCGTTGTTATACTCAATACAATGGATTTCTTTCGTATTTTAATCAACGTAAGTATTAAAACTTGAGTTGGATAAATTTTCGAAAAATCGGCCTAGGCGGCCGCCTAGGAGCTAGGCGGGAGGACACGGTCGCGATTTCACCGGTTGGATGGATAATAATGCAGATGATGATTTTGTTGCTTATGAACAACCCAACTTCGTAAATGCAACTGAGAAAACACACTTTCAAGTGCCAAGGAATTGTCTCATAGGAGTAGGAATTGTAATATGCCAGAAGATGAGAAGACAGCTATATCATTGAAAAACTATGTCAGGTGACTGGGGCTATCCCCCCCACGGCGTATTGTTGTTGTAGTTTCGCACTAGTACTGGTGTAACAGCAGCTAAATCATCCATGGAATTTGAGAGAGTGAGAATTGATAGTGCGGAGACAGTGAGACTTGATAGCTTGGAAGTCAGAGAAGAGAATTTTTAATACGGGGTAAACTTTTCCCCCAGCCGTTAAAATTCTTCTTTGATATACAAAAGAAGTAAGACATAATACAATGCTGCCAGATGCCTAAAGATTAGAAACAATAGAGAGCACACTCATGAAAATATTCTAGGATTGAAGATGGGCAAGTAGTACCACTCACTGGGCCTAGCCAGCTTCTACTATGGTAAAACCAGAGATGGAGGCTGCCACCAGCAACCACTTCTGCTGTGATGGGCAGTAGAAGTGTTCCAAAACAGAGAAAACTTCGTATTAGTTCGATTCCTAGTGACGTGTAAGGCGAACTGGAAGTCCTTTCTCTGGTGTGGGCATCATGTCACCTGTGATCTTTTCGTTAGGAAATAGCACTTCCCATTTGAACCTCATCACCACATTGTGAACAAAAGTGAGTATTGCTAGCCTTGCATACTCTTTCCCAGGGCACATTCTTGGTCCTCCTCCAAAGGGAACAAATGTGAAAGCTGGGAATGCACTCAAGTCATCATATCGTGAAGGGTCAAACTTTTCTGGGTTGGGAAAGTACTCTGGGTTCATGTTTGTTGTACTAACAGTCCAATATACCTGCATAAGAAAAATATTTAAGATTTTAGTTTCAATCCAAAAGCTAATAAGGCAGACAAAAAGTGAACAAGTTTTTCACAGCAGTAAATTTTTTAACAGCATAGGTGACATATTTACCTTCCAGCCCTTTGGGATGGTGTAACCAGCATACGTGAAATCAGTCAAGGCCTCTCTGAATGTCCCCTGAAGTGGTGGTGTGAATCTCATCACCTCATACAATACATTCCATGAGTACTTCATCTTGTTGATGTCATCCCACTCCAAAAATTGTCCAGGCTTCTTTGAGTCTGCAATCTCCTTGTGTTCTGGTTTTTACATGACAAATCAAATTAAGCACCAAAAAATAACCAAAGCTCCAATTTCAATTATTGAAAATCAATTAGTAAGGTAAAGTTGAGGTGATTATTACCAGCTAGGACTTTGGCATAAATGTCTGGCCTCTCTCCAACATATTTCATGAAGAAAGTCATGGCAGTAGCCACAGTGCTGTATCCTGCTGTCAGCAAACCCATGATCTTATCAGCGATCTCAGCCTCAGGCATGTGTTTGCCAGTTGGGTCACTTGCCACAATCATATGTGACAATATGTCATGCATGGGAGCTCCTGATGCCATTGCAGCCTTCTTCTCCTGAATCACAATCTTCAACTCCCTTCGAAGTTCATCGGCTGCTTTGGTTGCTTTGTAGAATGTTGTTCCCGGGAAATTCAGAATAAGTGAATGCATCCCAACAGTCACATCATCGAAATTGCTCACAAACCTTGCAATTCTGTCTGGCTCATCTATGCCCAAGAAGAATCTGCAGGCAAGGCCTAGAGTGAGGGTTTTGGCCAGAGGGTACACCTCTACCTCATCTTTGCCTTCCCAATAGGCCTTCATCTGTGCTTGGGTGATAGAGTCCATTACCCCCAAGTACCTTACCAATGCTTCGGGCTTCAAAAACCCCGGTGACCTCAACACTTTGGCTTCTTCGTCACGAGCAGGTTGTGCTACTGCTGGAGGAGCAGCAGCAGCAGCTGCTGCTGCTGGAGCCTTATACGAACGAAACATCTTTTGCATGGAATGTGGTCGAAAAGCTGTGAAGTACTTCTGCTCATTAGAAAACAGAAATTTGTGTCCATTAGGACCACAAATAACGGCAGTTTTCTCTCCAAGAATCTTGGTCTTGAAGATTTCAGGGGAGTACCTCCTCATCCTCTTGGACACAAAGATTTCTGGCTTCCCAAAGAGAAACTCCAGAGTTTCACCCACAATAGGCCACCCCATGCTCCCTGGTGGAAGGTTCTTGCCATCATCTGATTTGCCTTTGAATGCAAAGATGATAAACGCTAAAAAAGCGGCACCCAAAGACAAGGCAAGGTAAAGGGTCTCCATGGTTGTTGCTGATCAAGCCTCAAATTGTTATCTGAGATTGATTGAAGCTAAGCAAGCAGTGATGTTTAGGAAGAGAAGCTAAGCAGGGAGTGATGTGTAGGGAGCTTGGAAAGTTTGGTTTATATAGGGCCAGATCCCACCGTGTCAAAGTCTAAATTGGAGGTAGCACGCCAAAAGTGGTCAATTTTGAACATTTGGAAGGACTAATTCTCATTAATTAAATATTCATACATCTACAAAAGGTATTATAATATTACAATACAAACACATGGTGACTTGATCCGTTGCTCAAAGAATTGATGCGCACCAACCAGGTTACCGGTCATCAATGCATAGAAAAGTCCGTAGGCCACACTCGCATTTCCATCCTTCAGGCTCATAATTTGCATATGGTGGTCTTGAGCCAAGCCGGCTCAGCCCTCTATACTTTCCTTCATTTTTGTCATGTACTGGAAGTCCTTCAATGCCTTCAACTTCCCAAAAGACAAACACTCATTGTAAAAGATAGCCAAAAACTAATTAAAACCCAAGTAGGGAGAGCCTGAAATGTACCTGTTTTGGGTCAAAGGTAGCATCTTGGGGATGTGGGTTTTGGTCTTGATCAGCTATGTATAGAAACTAATTAGCAACATGGTATAAGAAAAAGCATATGGGATGAAGGAGGACTTGAAAACTAAAAATAAAAACCATGCTCTACAATTGTACTTCTTCTACAAATATAGCTTGTCCAATAGGAGTGTGTAAGTAGGTTTTTCCACTTATTCTCCTCACCATGGGTTTTGTTTGATTCTAATCAAGCTGTCTAGAAAGGTTGCACAAAAAATAAATACATAAATAAATAAAATTACAATTGGAAAAGAATGAAGAAAGAGGGAGGCTCTTTGGTGCCACCAGCAATCACTTCTGCTGTGATGCATCAAGAATGCTGAAAATGTGTGGTACCACGAAATGTTGCAAATGTTATTGGAATTGTCTGTTTTTTTTTAACGTGGTGTTCCAAAGTAGAACCAAAAGTAGAGTCAAAATGCTCTAAATGAAAAGCATCATAGCTGAAATGGAAGGCATATACTTCTTTTTTTGGCTGCCTTCAAGTCACCCAGTATAAATCAAAGTTAAAAATCGCCAATCGTCTTTACATTTGCACGAGTTATTGTGATTCTTAACTAAGAACTAGCGATTTATCTTTCTGTTTTCTTACAACCAACTTGAGCAATAATTTATCAGTTGGTCAACAGTAAACTGAAAGTCAAATTTAGAAGGCTATCCTTGGAAAACCAACTCATTCACCTTTGAAGATTCAAAGTTATAACATATGGTTTATTTATACCACTTCCAGTTCTGCAGAGAGGTTGCAGAAGAAAGTGATGGCCAAGTCTCTCAAAATGTATATTTATTATTATCACTTTGTAAAATTCAACTTGAAATTTACAAATGAAAAGAAGTGTCATTCATTTAGTTTTCTCATTATATAGAAACTGATTTTCCCTTAGCCATTTATATGATCATTATACAAAATATATATACAAGTATGTAGACAACAATCTACAGTTACAACAAGCTATTATTATAAAAATATAATATGGAGTTATGGCCTAATAACAAAGTAACTGACAATTGACCATTTCCTATCATTAGTAGGGTTAAATATAGTAACTGAAATACTATTATAACTCCCTAGTACTCCCCCGCAAATCGAGCGCACACAACATAGCAAAATTTGAATGAAGAAACTACATGGTGATGGAGATTGCGGCAGTAGTCAACTGTAGTAGTCCAATAAGGGGAACCAAAAAGAAGAACTCCAATCTCCAGAGTTGCAACGGCGGCATGAGAGAAACAAAGTAAACATAACGCCCATTGAAAGGCAGCAAGTGAAGGAGAGCATGGGCTCATGGAAGGAAGGAATAAAATGACGGGCTGACATACAAGTCAAATGTACCTAGGAAACAACTCTAGGCACCTGAGAAACATAATGCTACCTAGGAATCACCCTCTAGGTAGGATAAAGAGAAATAGACAATGTTGTAAAGAGTAATGAGAAAGAAAAATAATTCAGACAAGTGCATTTTATTTATTTATAAAAATAATAAAGATGAGGAATGGAAACAAAAGAAAATTCATCACGTGGAAAGCAGAAAGGGATGCGTGCAGAGAGAAAAGAAAGAATATTTGAAGGGAATAAAGGGGGTTAAGAAAGGTTGCAGCACAATAGTAGAGTATAGGAGGTGAAACCAACTTGTGACATAGAGAAAAGAAAACGAGAGCATGGGTAAGTTGAATTTCAAGGCACCATAGAAATAATAAGGTATGGGGAAGAAAACCACGGGGGAATAGAGAAGTAATAAAGAAAATATTATCACAAGAGGATAGAGGCCCATATAGATTAAAATATAGAAGGATGATTGACCCAAAAAACAATAATAAGAAATAAATGAGGAAACCAAGTGAGACAGAGAAAGTAGTCAAGAGAGGGAGAGAGAACAAGATGCAAGAGACAATCCATGAAAAGGAAAGGAAACTCAAGATTCCAGAGACAACCCATGATAGAGAGAGAGAAAACACAATTGAAAAGAAAAGAAGAGAATACCCCCAGCAACATAAAAGAATTATAAAGAAAAGAAGACAATACCCGAGTAACAGAGAAGAAGAAAGGTAGCAGAAGAGAGCATTGAAGAAGACAGAGACCAACAGTAAAATCAAAGAAAGAGATTGGGCTTAAGAGGGGAGGAGAACACAGGTTGAGCATAGATAGAGCGTGAGAGGCCGATACCAAGGTAGCAACATAGTGATAGGGCTTGAGTGGCCGATACCAAGTCGGCAACACAGAGGAAGAAACAGGGGTTGTGCAAAGGGAACATCGGCTGTGTAGCACGGCAGAGAAAGGCTCGGCGAGTGTTGACGAGGCTCACAGAGGAAAAAGAAACGGCTCGATAAACGATGACAGGCAACATGAACAAACAAGGGGAAAGTATGGAAACCACAATAGAGAAACCATCAGAAATACATGAAAGAGAGAACCCACGATTGCAGACTAGGATAAGGCTCGGCGAGCGTTGACAAGGCTTGCGGAGGGAAGAGAGATAGCTCGGCGAGAGAGACGGCGAGATGGAGACAAAGAAATGGAGAGAGATTTCAAGTGGAGAAACCAACGATAGAGAGGTGTGGTCTTTGAGGGAAAGGAAAAGTTTGTTGCTCGGTTTCAACAGAGAGAAGTGGCCCAACATTGATGGATAACAAGGGGCTAGCGAGCCAAAAGAGGGATAGGCAGCGGATGTGTAAGAGATCAACAACGGCAGGATAACATGACATGAGAGAGATAAAAGTCGGTGAGGAGAAGACTCAGTGAGTGGTGACGAGGCTCGGGGAGGAAATAAAAATCTGGCCATCATGGCCAAGGGAGATAAATGGAGCTGCCATGGGTTGCCACGAGAGAGCTCGATGGAGGAGACGGTCCGCAATGAAGGCGGCGTGACGGAGACACAAAAATAACGAGCTAACAGAAGAAAGGGTTGCAGTGGTAAAATAAAGGTGCGGCTACAACTAAGGTGGAAAGAAAAACATATTCATCTTTGAGAAGAAGAGAGGAAAAAGCATACTATACATACAAACACCCTTATTGGGGAGGAGTGAGGAGCGCCAACGACTCTCAATGTTGGCAACTGGAGGATCACTATTCAGCGTTAGCCATTAGCTCTGATACCATACAAAAACTGATTTTCCCTTAGCCATTCATATGATCATTACACAAAGTATATATACAAGTCTATAGAGAACAATCTACAGTTACAGCAAGCTATTATCATAAACATAAATATGGAGTTATGGTCTAATAACAATGTAACTGACAACTGACCATTTCCTATCATTAATAGGATTGACTATTGTAACTCCCTAATACATTACCTGAAGGCTGAAGGGGGGAAACAAACGAACAGTATTTCAAAACACAGAAAATTTCATAACAGATTGATGCCTAGTGACGTATAAGGCGAACCGGAAGTCCTTTCTCTGGGGTAGGCATCATGTCGCCAGTGATCTTTTCCTTAGGGAATAACACTTCCCATTTGAACCTCATCACCACATTGTGAACAAAAGTGAGAATTGCAATCCTTGCATACTCTTTGCCAGGGCACATTCTTGGTCCTCCTCCAAATGGAACAAATGTGAAAGCTGGGAATGTACTCAAGTCATCATATCTTGAGGGGTCAAATTTTTCTGGGTTGGGAAAGTACTCTGGGTTCATGTTTGTTGTACTAACAGTCCAATATACCTGCAAACAAATGGAAGTAAAAAAACTTTAGTTCTAAGCAAAGAAATTATTATTTGATAGATGTGAAAAATAAATTTCACTCTTCAAAACTGTAAAAATTTATTATATGAGTGTGACATATACACCTTCCAGCCCTTTGGGATGGTGTAACCAGCATAGGTAAAATCAGTCAAGGCTTCTCTGAATGTCCCCTGAAGTGGTGGTGTGAATCTCATCACCTCATACATTACATTCCATGAGTATTTCATCTTGTTGATGTCTTCCCACTCCAAAAATTCCCCAGGCTTCTTTGAGTATGCAATCTCTTTATGCTCTAGTTTTTCCAAGACAAATCACATTTTAGCACAAACAAGAAATAACCAAAGTTCCAATGAAGTATTGAAAATTAATTTAGGGAGGTGAAGTTGAGGTGATTAATTACCTGCTAGGAAATCACATTTTAGCACAAACAAGAAATAACCAAAGTTCCAATGAAGTATTGAAAATTAATTTAGGGAGGTGAAGTTGAGGTGATTAATTACCAGCTAGGACTTTGGCATAAATGTCGGGCCTCTCTCCAACATGTTTCATGAAGAAAGTCATGGCAGTAGCCACAGTGCTGTATCCTGCTGTGAGCAAACCCATGATCTTGTCAGCAATCTCAGCCTCAGGCATGTGTTTGCCAGTTTGGTCAGTAGCCTCAAGCATATGTGATAATACGTTATGCATGGAAGCTCCTGATGCCATTGCAGCCTTCTTCTCGAGAATCACAGTCTTCAACTCCCTTCTAAGCGCATCGGCTGCTTTGGTTGCTTTGTAGAATGTTGTTCCTGGGAAATTCACAATAAGTGAATGCATCCCAACAGTCACATCATCGAAATAGCTCACAAACCTTGCAATTCTGTCTGGCTCATCTATGCCCAAGAAGAATCTGCAGGCAAGGCCTAGAGTGAGGGTCTTGGCCAGAGGGTACACCTTGACCACATCTTTGCTTTCCCAATAGGCCTTCATCTGTTCTTGGGTGATAGAGTCCATTATCCCCACGTACCTTACCAATGCTTCGGGCTTCAAAAACCCCGGTGACCTTAACACTATGGCTTCTTCGTCACGAGCAGGTTGTGCTACTGCTGCAGGAGGCTTATACGAACGAAACATCTTTTGCATCGAATGTGGTCGAAAAGCTGTGTAGTACTTCTGCTCATTAGAAAACAGAAATTTGTGTCCATTAGGACCACAAATAACAGCAGTTTTCTCTCCAAGAATCTTGGTCTTGAAGATTTCAGGGGAGTACCTTCTCATCCTCTTGGAGACAAAGATTTCTGGCTTCCCAAACAGAAACTCCAGAGTTTCACCCACAATAGGCCAACCCATGCTCCCCGGTGGAAGGTTTTTGCCATCATCTGATTTTCCTTTGAATGCAACGATGGTTAGAGCTAAAAAAGCAGCACCTAGAGATAGGGTAAGGTAAAGGGTCTCCATGGTCGTTGCTGATCAATTCTCAAACTCTAAGCTGAGATTGATTGAGACTGAGAAAGCAGTGATGTTTAGGAAGCTTGGAAATTTTGAACATTTAGAAGGACTAGTTTGTCATATATAATGATAAATAATCCATATACGCACCTTGATTCATAAATCTGCAAAGAGAGTTATGATATTTACACTACAAACATATGGTCTTGAGTTGGTTTGCCCTTTTTTTTTGTTTTAACTACAAATGCTGCAAGATTTTTTCGTAACAATCTGTTAAGTTGGTTTGGTAGGTCTTGAGTTTTTTACTTACGAAGAGTTTTACTTTTTACAGAAACATGAGTTGCTTGCTTACACAATTGATGCCCTGCCTTGGCTGGTCTTCTCATTCACTTGCATTGCATGAAACTGCGCACCAACGTAGTCACCGGCCCACTGGTCATCAATGCATAGACAAGACCGCAGGTTTCTCCAAATTTTAGAACTAGGGGGTGAAGGAGTAATTTAAAGAAACAAAAATAAAAAACACATGTTCTCCAGAGTTATACTCAGTGGCGGATCCAGGATTCAAAAGTCAAGTAGGCGAAAGGATGGACGTAATGAGCCTTACTCTCAATATATCTATATATAAATAAAAATAAATAAAAAAAAAAAAAAAAAAAAAAAAAAAAAAAAGAAATGCAATGCAAAACTAAACTAAACTAAACTAAACTATTTAAATATAAAATTTTACCCTATGAGGCATAGAAATCTTAAATTCCTCAATTATCTCTTCATTATCGATATTATTAACAGACTCTATTTTAATGCGGAGAATCATGCAATCAGCAAGGAATTCATCAGCTATGGTGCTCCGAAGTCTATTCTTAATAATTCTCATACATGAAAAAACTTGTTTTGTTGTTGCTGTAGAAACAAGAAGAGTCAACACGAACTGAATCAACTTGTAAAGCAAATGGTAGTTTTCTGCCAAAGTTGTTTCCACCAATTGTTGACATAACTGAGGAAGAGTGGTGAGGTCCTTAAAGCAGGGAAGGCGATGCATATCATTTTGAAAATACATCAACTCAATTTCTAAAGCTTTCAAGTCACTTGGACTGAAATCAGCACGATAGAATTTCTCAGCAAGTTTACATAGATGCCCAATATTGAATGATTTGAAGGAATTACGAGGATATGCTGAGCTAAGAATAAGAAGTTCAACTGTTTGCTATGGAAATCTATTATTTAACTCCCTCAACATGCAATATGTCACATCATTAAATACATTAATGCAACAGTAATGTTTAACTATAATAAAATCTTTTTGTTGACAAAAACGACATGTGCCCATCATATAACGAGAACTCATATCAGGAACATCAATACCATGTTGTTCACAAAATGATACTACACTCATGAATAAATTATCCTAGCCATGTGCCCTCATATCTTGGAGCTGTGATTTTGTGTTTTCAAGAAAATTTAAAACACTTACAATATCTTGAGTTTTTGTCTGAAACACTTGACAAAGAAAATTGGTCAATTCCATAATTTTATCCATCAAAAGTAATGAAAACATAAATTCAAAAGACATCATAGCAATATAATTACTCTATGCATCGCCACGAAATTGTTGGTTAGGTCCATAATCATTGATTTCTTGGAGAAATATTTTTGTCTCTTTAAATAAACTCATCAAACTTGTAATAGAGGCAAAGTGAGATCCTCAAAGAGTGGCTCCAGCTTGTTTCAAACTACGACCTTGATTAAGTCCTCTACATGTCTCAAGTTCTCCAGAATTCAACACCTATTTGAGTTCAGCTTTTCGAATTAAATTTAACTCATTATGGCGCTTAACAGAATCACTAACAAAATTCACAATGTTAGTCAACGTTGAAAAAAATCTCTATACAACTTTCACATCTTTCACATGCTTATATTGTTTTTTATTGTTTTTGTTAAAGGAGAAAGTTTGAGTGGGTTGGGCTATTGTTTTTGTTAAAGGGAAAAATTTGGGTGGGTTGGGCTTGAGTAGGCAAAAGAAATTTGATTATATTGGGTAATTTTTGGTTTGGCAAAAAATGGAGTAGGCGGCTGCCTACCCTACTCTTAGGGTAGGGCCGCTCCTGCTGGGTTGGATTTGAGTAGGCAGAAGGAATTTGATTGTATTGGGTATTGGGTAATTTTTGGTTTGGCAAAAAATAGAGTAAGCGGCTGACTACCCTGCCCTTAGGGTAGGAACGCCCCTGCTTCTAATGCAGACATGGGCTTAGCCAAGTTGGCTAGATTGAATGTGCTCCCCACTCTGCATCCCAGATCGAACCCCACCACGTAGTTTAAATTAAATTAAAGTAGAATATTGCTTGTATCAAAATTTAAATAAATAAAAAACTAATAAGGAGACCATTAACTAAAATTATTGCTTGGTTGCTCTTCAATGTTTTCTCATTTAAAGATAACTACTCAGGGGTTTTTTCGGTCAAACATTGTTGCTTCCTAAATCAAACTGTTGCCATAAGAAAGTAGCATTGCTCGAGTTTGTTAACAAGTAACTCATCATCATCCATCTTCTGCATTATTCATCCAACCGGATACCTTGAAGAGCTCAAATCTGATTGGACGCTGGTTAGACAACCAGCCATCCTGTCCTGGGGAAAGTGTCCGCCTTCTTGCCACACACGGCTAAGAGCGTTGCACAGTGGACACGCTTCAGTGTAGGATTAATTAGTCGTAGTATCATAACTTAATTGCAGTAGTTGTAAGGATTCATCAGACTGTCAAATCTTCCCTTTTCTTTGTCCCTTGTGTAGTGATGAAATTTGGAATGTCATGTCTGAAATTGAAGACCTACAGTGGGAAGAGCTACTTTTTCCCTCAATTTAATATAACTCTCACATTAATAGCTAGCAACTTCTAACCTTCAATGGTTGCCATGGTTGACCTACCAAAGCCTGACTCTCCGTAAAATATCAACCACCTGATAAATTCTTGTCTGAGTTGGTCGGAAGGAGTGTTGCAACTAATTGTAGAAGGTGTAGAAAAACAAAAAAGACAGCATATCCTGGAAACTAACAATTTTGTTGCTTGAAGCCATGTTCTGAAAACTTACTATCCATAAAGTTTCTAAAACAAATATAGTATTACAATATTCTCCTTTATATGATTGCTTTGTAAGTTGATAAAATTTACATTAAACGGATATACTATATATGATTACGATGATGATGTGCACACCACATGCATACGATCAAATACGTCGCAGAGAGGCCAACCTCTTTTCAAGATCCTCAACATCAGGAGATTCAGAACTGCATATAATTACAATAGAGTGTTAAAACCGATTGAAGTTAATCTATAAGTTAGAACCTATTGGACACGAAAGAAATTATTATGGCAACAGCTTTTATACAGCCATTTATGGTACTGATGCTTTTCAGTTATTGAATTCAAACTATACAGTCCACCACTAAATTACTAAGTTGTAAACAAGGAAATAGCATTTGTACCTGGTAACAACATTTTCAGCATTTCTCGGAGCTACATTTTCAGCATTCCTCGGAGCCACATTTGCAGCACTCCTCGGAGCTACATTTGCAGCACTCCTTGGAGCAACATTTTCAGTATTTCTTGATGCAATTCTGCCCTTTGGAGCAGAAGATAACTGTAAGGAACAAGAAGAAGTTCACAGAGCAGTTAGTTTAAAATGAGAAAAAGAAAAAACAATAATAAAAGCAAAGTCAGGCAAGCTATCAATCTCAAAGACGGGTACCTGGGATGCAATATCAACACCAATCTCATCAAGAACCTGAAACATGAAATATGCTTATTCTAGATTAATATGATAATGCTGATACTCCTGTACAAGAAAACAATACTACAATCACGATGCCAATACTCCACCTGGTTAGTAAGCTCCTCGGTTTCCTCCTCAGCCTCATCTTTGTCCAGGGTTTCATCAATAGACTCTGACATCATCTCTATCTGCATAGAGGATAATATGACATTAAATTTTACACAAATGTGCACTATAGAACAAAACATAGGCCAATTAGGAGACATCGCTTCTATCTGCATAAAGGACAATCTGATAATTACACTACAGAACAAAATGTGAGCCAATAAGGGAGGAAGTTGTTCAGTCAGTAGTGTTTGATTGTCCTGTCCAAAACTGAGTACATCTTTGTCAACTTTTTAAAGAGATAAAGGGTTTCAGTTTCAGATCTCTCGCATATATGTATTTGATCTAGTGAACCACATTTGATGAGTGTAATTTCCCTTAGACATACACGGTTGATTAATGTTGTGTGTTTCATTTGACAAAAATCAGAATTGCAATAATCAAGAATAATTCTGGAAATCCAATTCATCTCTCACATGTATGTACTGATCTAGTAAACCACATTTGCCGAGTGTAATTTCCTTTGGACAAGGTTGGTTCATGCTGTGTTTTCATTTGATCAAACCTAGCATTGGAATAAACCAATAAATTATTCCAGGAAAACATTAGTAATACCGTCATGTCCATTTGCGCCGCCTGCTTCTGGAATTCCCTGATCACTTTAACTTGTTTTGCAGGTTCCATTTGCTGAAATGAAAAAAAAATGATAATAATACTTTATTAATCTGAAAAGAAAAAATATTTGGCTAAAAAATTAGAAACCTTGTGGTTGAATTACAATGAACTGTTTGACTCATAATATTTCTCAAACCATGCATTGTCAGAGATGGACGAGTAATCAAATATGATGGAATACTACATAGTAATAAATAGTAATGCTGCAAATTTGTATCAAAACTGCCTCTTGAAATGCATACCTTGTTCATTGCCACCATTGCTTTAGTTGCACCTTTCATGCCTGTGGAAATAGAAGTGCTTGCGTATAATGCCTGCAAACATATTAAATGTAAATCAACACCCAGAAAGTTTCTGCGCACATGATATATATATCAAAATCTTTCAACCAAATTTGAAGCATAAAATGGTGACCTGTGTATGGGTAGCTACACCTCTTATTTGGGCACGACTTCCTTGCAAGTTAGTAATTTGTTGGCGTAGCCTAACGAGTTGACGAGCCAGGATTTTGGTGGCAGCCTGGATAAGACATATAAGGCATGATTGACAGGGTTTGGTAATACTTGTACATATCATTACACATACAAAAATTTCATCCTGCATAAATAATTTCTATATAGGAGTTTGCAGATATGCGGTCTCTGTTTGTATAAAGGAGCATCATCTTATAGTTTGTTAAATTTCAAAAACATTGCAAAACAAGTCATATCAGTTTGGTAACCTATCAGTAACGGGGAAAATTTATGTAGGCTATTTTTCTCCTATATTTCATGATATCTGAAGTAGCATTCACTTGGCACTTACGATTGCTGGAGCCCTCCTTTTATGTTTTCTTTGTTATGTGTTCTTTCATTCATTTACAGTTGATGAAAGACTATATATAGTTTCAGATGGTTCCTCCTGCATCAATCTACATTCATTTCTGAATCAGTTAGCTATTCCTGTGGTGCAGTAACCAGCTTGCATCATTCCTAGACCACTAATAATTGGAATGTAAAACATGGCACCAAAGAATGAACAGTTTCATTTTCCCCAAGAGTAACAATTAAGTGGTTGAAATAAAGGAAAATAAATTCAATAAACATGGTAATACCAACACATCCAAATCATATTAAGCAGAAAAGCTGAGCTGCACATCAACTGTTAAAGTCTTAAAAGCTGCAAAACAATATGTTATCCCCTTAATGTATTTAATGTGCGCATTAACTATTACGCGGAGAGAACAACTTAAACAGAATATTAAGCTTGCCTCATTTCCAGTTTTAGCCGTTTTCTTGATCTCCGCCACCAATTTCTTTTCCTGAAATGCAGAAACAATAAAGACACTGAGGGAAGAATCTGGAAAAAGAATCAATCAGAAGATTTAGGGTAACTGTAGCATATACCTCCAATTGAAGAGATGCGATCTCACGTTCAATACCTGTAAAAGAAAAAGGGGAGTGGGAGAGAAAAAGAAAAGTTAAAGCACCAAGTATTGTAGTTGCAATTTGATGCCTCCAACCAAAGAGTTGCAATATAATTTTAGCTGAAATACGCAGACCAAGTGTGGAACTTTTTGATTGACAAAATTGTTAAGTATAGCAACCCATAAGAAAGCATGAAAACTAAGACAATTGATAGCATCTTTTTTTCCTTTTTATTCAATTTTCAAAGGTAAAGAAGATAAGAAATGCCTAAAGCAAAGAACCATAAGCAAAAATACAAGCAGAATACAAATATGCACATCTCTAGTAGGGATCAGCCATTTTGAAGCATATTCAAACAAGATAAACAGAAGATCTTCTTTCAAAATTTCATCCTGACGCCCTAGAGCATACACATACCTCTGGTAGCAACACTCATTTCTCTTTTGCTTGTCCTCAGAGCCTCTGTTCAATTAGACAACCAACTTATCAAAATCATTCACAACTTTTGTCAAACAGACAACAAAAAGAAAAGCTGAAAAAACTAGAAAATCCACACAATCAAGTCTGAGAATAAAAAAAAAGAAAGAACCCCCAAACATTTGGCGGTTCGGTAAACCAACTTAAAATTCTGAAAATAGTAATGAACAAAAGTAAGAGTTAAATGAACTCTAAAAGTAGATGCACAGGCTCATCTAAGTAAACCCTGAACAATGAAAAACCCATTTCCAGTTCAACAATTCCTCAACCACCAAACATAGTTAAAATGGAAAACCCCTAATGGGGAAAAGAAATAATGAAACCCTAGAGAGAGAGAGATAGAAGGAAAAGATGAAACCTTTGGGGGAGGTCTTCTTCTTGAAGATGTTCATGGTGACCACTGAAGTTGAGAACTTGAGAGCAAAGAGAGTTAGACACCAAAGTCCAAACCAGCGGGGCAAAATCTTCTGAATCTTGTTTATAGGAGAGCGTGCAGTTTGTTCCCGGCTCCCTCGTAGCATAACCCAACGGCAATTTTCCAACTAGCCGTTACAATTCGTTTTGACTGTTTTGCCCTTCCTCAAGGTGATTCACTTTTGCACCGAGCTACACATATTTTTGTCTTTTCCAATGTTCATTATTAATGTTTTTTGCTTAGGAATGTTCCACTACTTGGCATCATGATATTCAGGACCAAAAAAAAATCATGACATTACTATATTGGATACAATAACGATCGATAATCTTATGATATTAGATATGCCAATACTTATTCTCATCATATCAAAACTAATTTTTAAAAATATCCATAGTTTTGTTGATATTTATGTATTTCCAAATCGGTATTAATTATAATTATTTTTATGTATTCTCTTTATTTTTGTAATTATTTTCAGAATTTTTATTAATTTTAATACACTTTCTCTTGATATTAATACGGGATTATCATATGATTGATCTTAAAATTTGTCATGTGTTTTTTTAACGAATGCAGGAGTCAAAAGCTAAACCCATCTGGGCAAATCCATCCCAAAGTGGTGTTGGGACGACCAATTAAACATTTTGAAAGACAAAGCAGGCTACTGCTCTTCAAAGTTGGATGCAAGACTTTTTGAGGGCCTTCCTCTAAGAATGGGCTTTGCTTATCCTATCCTATATGGCATGTTTTGGGCTTGGCCTGTGTTCCTATTTTGAGAAACTCCATCTGGAATGAGAAATTTCAAAAAAGAAAATAGAAAAAAAGGATTGACATTTCTTACAAAAACTACAAAAAAATCTGATAGACCCTAAGTCCCTAAGGGCTTGTTTGTTACATGTTTTGCTGGCAAAATAAAACAACATTCTTGCCTGTAAGTTGTGAAACCAGCAGGAGTTGAGCTGTTTCAACTGAAGGCCCTTGCTAATCTGAGAATAGCATTTTGGCCGGGAAACCTTCCTATAACTAGAGCGTCGGCAAAGGTTTTTTCTTGTTTACAGTTCTAAGTGATTATGATAGTACGAGGGTAGGCAAGTTCTAAACCCATTTGCTAGTATGCTAAACTTTTATCGTGGCCTTAATTTGTGCTAGGGCACTTAGGACTCAATTAGGCTCAGATACTCAGGGTACTTAGGACTCAATTAGGCTCGGATACTCATGTAACTCGACCTAGGACTTTATGATTAAGGTTTCAATCTCAATCTTGGGTTTGTACAACGTAATCAGACATAACCTTGACCTGTCTCGATGAATTTTCGTCAGGATAGAAATATCTCAGTGAATTTTGTCGAGATAGACCTACTCAAGCGAACTTTTTCTATCTCGACAAACTTTGACATGATAGTCCTATTCCGGCGAATATATGTTGCAATCTTTCCCTCCAAAATTTTGTCAGGATTCCAACAACAAATCACTTGTTAAAATTTACCTCAAGGGGCACTACACTAATTGGGATATGTCCGGTTACGTCGTACTAACCCTATATTAAGATCGAACCCCAAGGTCCAGTTACGTGAGTATTCAAGCCTAATCAAGCCATAAGTGCCCTAAAGTAGGTTTATGATTAGGGTTTAAGGCTTGATAACAGTTTTGGAACAAGTTCAGAAGCTTGGGTTTTTGGTTTGAGATTTGGAGGCAAAAATCCATTTTTTGGAATACTAAAAATTTATCTGAACGTCTTCTACAAGGATGCAAGTCAATGGTTGTGGTTTTACAAGTCAATGGTTATTTTACTAGAGAACATTAACCAAGGCGTTCTACAAGTTTGCAAGCATCTTTCCTTATCATTACTTTAACCTGCAAAGAACGTGAAAAAAGGACAAGACTTCTCCATCACGTGGTGGGAAGAACCTAGACCTTGACCTCTATCCATGACGTTCTTATTCATTCTCTGATCCTTATTCTTGAAAATTCAAAATCGCTAGATTTGCATCCACTTTATTAGCATGTCTCACTTGAAAAGAAAATTAGCATTGACCTTCACAAGTCATGCTTCCAAATTTCCAAAACGTGTATTGCAAGAAATAGAAAAAAGTTGGCTTCTGGGAAATTCATTGGTTGTCACATTCAACTATTTACTGCAGAAAATAAAAAGCCATCCCCTTCTTTTTCTTTGTATGGAGTATGGATATGGACCACATTATTTATATATTTTTTAAATAAAAAATTTCTAATGGAATAGAGTTTTTACAGTGAATCCAATTGGTAGCAGCTTCTGTTGTAGATTTTGGATACTTCTTTGCCAAACACAAAAAAAGAGAGGACAAAATACAGTAGTCTCTGTACAATTGAATAGACTACTGTATAATTGAATTAACACAAGCACTTCTCTCTTTTCATTTTCAGCAACATCAAGGATTCAAGGATATAAAAAGTTCACAGTTTTGGTGTTTTCCCTTAAGCATTTCCAATTCTTGAAAATTCAAAATCGCTAGACTTGTATCTACAATACTTTAGCATGCATTTGACATGTTACTACTCATTAGAATACATTGTCAGGAGTCGAGATCACATGATACAACATATTGGACTCTCAACTTTTTATTACTATTAGGATGCATCAACGGATCATAGTCACTAATCACACCCTGAGAAGCATTGTTGGGACCAACATGAGTCATTCTTGGTAGTCCTTTGCACAACACACTCCCTCTAATCAAATTAAATTCACCAAATTTTGACAAAAAATACCTAAAAATCTAAGGGTCCGTTTGATATCCTACTTGGATCCAATTTTATAAACTGAAAAACAGATTTTTAAGTCCAAAACCCCAAAAACCCGTTTGGTAAGAACCCAAACCCCAAAAAAACTCAAAAACACCCCAATTTTGAAAACAAAAAAGGTGAGATAAAGTGTTTTTTTGTTTTTGTTTTTTTCTTTCTTTCTATCTAGTTTTGTGTGCGGGGTTCACATATGAAAGCTACATATTCACAACAAGATACGAATTACAATACAAGATTGGAAAGTGCATTACAAAAGTCCTCTCACGCCTCACAGAAAGGAGGAAAACCCAAGCACAGGAACAGAGAAAATGAAGATGAAAAGAAGCAGACCAAACAAACCAAAACCAATATATCATCTTCCACTCTTCTTCTTCTTCTTCTTCTTCTTCCTGTCTGCTGTCTTTCACTGTGGTTTAGCTTCATCATCAAACACCGAGGGAGCAAAAGAAGCTGCGGTTGCTGGGTTTGGATACAAAATTCAGTCTGTCAACTATGATTCTTCTGGGAACTCATTGACTGCTAATCTTGGCCTCATCAAGAAATCCTCCCTCTACGGACCTGACATCCCAAATCTCAACCTTCACGCCAGGTACTTCGTAATTAACCATTCTCAATTTATTAATCTTAGATTAGTTTATAATCTCACGTTTTCATTTTTTTTAATTCTCATTAGTCATTGGGGGTTGACCATTTGATTAGGATATTGCAAAACATCCCAACCGTCCATAATATAGAATATACAGCTAAGACCCAATTAGCATTTCACTCCACAATATTAGCCACACAAATAGAAGACTATTAATAAATTAATTGCTCTCTTACTTACAAGATGCTTGCCATACTTTCTTAAACTCGGACTGTACATAACAATAACATGCGTTACTAGACCATCAATTATTCAGATTCACAGTCTTACTATATAATTAAACATCTCATGTCAACAAACAAACGGAGACAAGTTTTTAACAAATTTATGCTAGAAATCTAATTGGCCCTTGTGCTGCTAATCATGCGTGCAGCTGTGAAACCAAAGATCGGCTAAGAATTCGAATAACAGACTCAAAGCACCAAAGATGGGAAATCCCACAACAAATAATTCCCCGCCAAACAACTTCACAGCATCCACAACAATGTCAAACCCACAACAAACACCTCGTCATCTCCAACGACCTTGTCTTCACTCTCCACAACACCACCCCATTCGGCTTCACCGTCACCCGCCAATCCTCCAACGACGTCATTTTCGACGCCTCCCCAGACCCATCAAACCCCGACACCTTGTTGGTCTTCAAGGACCAATACATCCAGCTCTCCTCCTCCCTCCCCGAAGTCAGGTCCTCCCTTTTCGGCCTAGGCGAGCACACCAAGTCCTCCTTCAAGCTCACCCCCAACCAGACCTTGACACTCTGGAACGCTGACATTGCCAGCGCCAATGCTGACGTCAACCTCTACGGGTCCCACCCCTTCTACCTGGACGTCAGGTCAGCTTCTCCAGATGGCGAGGCCAACGGCGCCGGAACATCTCATGGAGTGTTGCTGCTGAATAGCAATGGCATGGACATAACATACGGCGGTGATAGAATTACTTATAAGGCCATTGGTGGAATTGTGGATTTGTATTTCTTTTCTGGGCCAACGCCGGAGTTGGTGGTGGAGCAGTATACAGAGCTCATTGGTCGCCCTACCCCTATGCCCTATTGGTCTTTTGGTAAGTTCGTTTGAACTCAAATATTGTAAATTCCACTTTTCTTAGGTAGGTACTATATATTATCACAATTCTCGAATCGCATTTCACATGTGACATCAATTATCATGACTAAGAGTATATGTCATTTGTACGATCTCAACTAATCATGTTTTTGTATCGGCACTTATTAGTAGACAGGTGCTATGACACATGACCAGTTGAAATGTCCTTCCTACTAGCACAGTATGCTTGCAATTTTCATCTTATTTTGGAATCATTGACTTTGTTCACTTATTCTCTGCTGAAGGATTCCACCAGTGTCGATGGGGTTACAAGAATGTTTCCGATCTTGAGGGTGTGGTTGCTGGCTACGCAAAAGCCGCTATCCCTCTTGAAGTTATGTGGACAGACATTGATTACATGGATGCATACAAGGATTTTACTCTTGATCCCATCAACTTCCCATTGGATAAGATGAAGAAATTTGTCAACACCCTTCACCAAAA